AGAGCATGAACGAAACAAGTTGAATATTAGACGACGCAAAACATGATGATTTATATGCATTTTACATTGTGACAAGTTTCTAGAAGTTGTCATGCTTCTACGTATGTCTATGAGACTCTCGTTCTGATCTTTTTTTATATAGCTTATTTTATTTAACAATTTTATTTTATTATGGTAGACATAAAAGTTCTGTTGGCTGTATTATTTTAAAATTTTGAATGACTCATACTTTATCTCTCATTTAAAATAGAAGAAGACGACCCTTCTTTATCAACAAAGATACTAATTATCATTTCTTTTTCTAGCTAAACGCAAAATGCAAAACGCTAATTTGCTTAGAGGCAGATTTCCATTGTCTTACAAGTTCAAGGTTTTAAAACCCACAAAAAAAGATCAGGGTTTGTTTTATGTTTTTATAAAAGCTCAGGGTTTTTCTACCCATTTTTCCTATATGAGGTGTTATTGTTTATTGTATTTTAATGAATTTGAGAATCTAAACCAAATTCAGTGTTATGGGTTATTGTATATTGAAATCTATATTGAAATACAGTGGTGGTAGTTCTATGATTTTAAAGTCCATAATGAAATACAGTGTTATTGGTTCTATAATTATAAAATCTAAATATTATAAGGATTTGAGTTTTAATTGAATTTAAATGGATTTGAAAAGATTTTCATGACTAAAATACAGAAACCCAAATATAAGGTTTAACCTTGGTATTATATTTTAGTGGATTTGATTTTTTTTTCTTTTGCTAATTTTACAATCAAAAGATTTATTAAATCCATATAACATTTCTAAATACATTAAAATACAAGAACCAATAACTCCTACTAAATCAAAATTGCTTAGCTTAGGCCATAATGACGACGACTTTTAGGGAATTATTAATGCATGACATAAAGAGGTGCATCATGTGCGGTATTATAGTAGGTTTTCCATTTGTTCCCACAAATAATAGCTACGCTAAACTGCAAAACTGTTACTTTTCTAGATTAAGAAACTATATCCTATGTTGATTTTAGCTTGATATACATTTTTCAAGTTTTAGATAGTTTTAGATATAGTATCACTAAAACATCTTTTATTTTCATTATACATACTTTTATTTATTATTAAATGAATTTAAATTTGTTTTAATAGTGTTTTCGATGTTTTAAAAAAAAATTATATTTGCCATAGATTTGCTACGGATCTGTTGCAAGTGCATCACAAATTATTGATTTGCGAGAGGTTTACGATGGATCTGTAGCAAATCCGTTGCAAATTAACGAGAAAATTGCGTGGATGCTTTATTAGTAACGATATCCTATATTCTAAACAGGAAAATGTTTTAAAACCTTGCTTGCGATGGATCCGTCGCAAATCCCTCGCAAACTGAATTTTTTCAAATTTTGGTCAAAATCTTCTGATTTTTTTAAAAAAACTTTGACGAATTCGCGAAATTTTTTATTAGACAGCCCATCATAAATCCGTCGCAATATATGTTATTATATTGATTCTCTTTCTTTACTTCTCTTCCACTCTCTGTATTTTTCTTCTCTTAGCCACTCTATCTCACTTCCTCTCATCTTTGCTTTCTCTCTCTCCCTCACTCTCTTTCTCTCTCTCTCAAACTCTAACAATTTTTGAATAGAGAGAAAAAGAGAGACATTGTTAAGTTGTTGAATTTGTTAGATTTATGATTTGTTGAATTTAAATTGATGATTTTTTTTATTTAAAAATTGTTTGTATTTGTGTTTTGTAATATTTTAGATTGATGAATTGTTAGATTTAAGTTTGGAAATTGCTAGATTTATGTTTGAAACTTATTAGATTTAGGTTTAGAATTTGTTAAATTTAGGTTTTGATTTTGTTAGATTTAAAAATTATTAGATATATAATTGATTTTTTTGTTAGATTTTCAAATTATTAAATTTTTATAATTTAAAAGATATATTTAAATTTGTGTGATTTTGTTAGATTTTGAAATTATTTTTGGTATATTTTGGTTAATATTGCTTATGTTTCTTTTTGTTAATTTTTTTTTTATTTTCTATAAAGATTTTAATAATTTGCAACGAACGTTATAAGGCTGGTCGCAAATCTGTCTTAATATTTGCGACGGATTTGCAATGAACGTTATAAGGCCACTCGCAAGTCTGTTGCAAGACAAACTTTACAATATCTATCGTAATATATGTGATGAATTTGCGATGAATTTACAATACATTTTATTCATCGCAAATTTATTACATATATGCGACGAATTTTCTTCTGATCTAAAATTTGCGACGGATATCAAATTCCGACTAATGAATTGTGACAATTTAGATGTTTTCGCAAATCCATCGCTCTTATTGATTTGCAACGGACTTGCGACTGCTTTGTCCGTCGCAAATCGAATATATTCTTGTAGTGTTTGATTAATAAAGATGATGAGGACATGGACCAGTCGATCGTACCGGGTCGGGAGAGTGACGGTAGCAACGACCAGCAGTTCGTATCGGGACGAGAGGAGCTGGACCCGACCACCGTACCATCAGTACATGGCTCACCCATGAGGCGTTCCAAGACAAGAAGGCTGAGAGAAGGGTTTAATGAGGCTATACAAGCACTTCTGACCAACATAGACGTGGAAAACATACTTAACCCCCAACCGAACCCCATTACACCCGAACTAGACATTACCAAGGACTTTGCCAAGATGAGCTTCAAAGATGACCGTACTAGCATGAAACAAGGTATGAACGTTTATTTGACAGGAAATGGTGATAAGAACATCAACAATCCCACCAATGCTGTACCGGAGCCGCGAGCTACACCAAGTACAAGTATATAAGCCGATAGAGCACCAATGGAGCAAGAAGATGATTCAAGCCTCGAACGTGGAGAAGCTCATGAAGACGTGTACCAGCTCGACTTCTACACTCATCAGTACGAAGAGAACGTCGAGTGCCCCAACGGCACCAGAACAAGCAATATTCACCAACGTACCAAATAAGCATCAAGCGCGCCAAAACCAGGTATTCTCAATTTATACAATTTGTGCAGGTACTGAGGCTTGCCTCACTGGTTCTTAAGCATCACAACACGCCAAGGAATCACCAGTTTGAGCTACAAGAGAGTCGGCTTAGTTTAGCTTTTTATTTTCTTTAGTTAAGTGAACTTTCTTATTTTGATGTCTTTGCGCCTTAAACGTTTTGTAGCTTTATTTTTCCTTTGTGTTGTCATTTTATTGCTTTTATTTTGGCCCTAGGGCTAGCTGACGAGCTGTTTATAAAGCTCCCCTGCAGCATTGTATCTTTGGTCACCTTTTGATTATCAATAAAGACTGAACTTTCTTCAAAAGCAATAGTCGCCGCTTTGCCTTTGTTCCTTGCTTTGTTCTTGTTCCTGTGATCCGTTCAAGACTAAGTGTTCGCTGTATCAGAGAGCTATCCATCCTCTTTGTGGTGCCATCAATCCACTTCGTTACTTCATTCATCCGATCCCTCAAGAGAGAGAGCGTTATAGCCAGCTTGACAGATCCCACCTCGGCTCAAGGAGTGTCATCACGCCTTGTTCTATCATTCTCATCCCTTAGCCAACACAAGAGAGCGTCAAAGCCAGTGTGTTGTCTCCATCATACTGCCCACTCTGACCACTGTAACACTCTCACCCGAGTATTACATCAAAAGAGTTTTTGCTTTTGAAAGAAGAGTATTTTCTGTTTGAAATCTTTATATTTTTTTGCTATCTGTGGAAGAAATCGATAAAATCTAAGCATTAATTGTTATCGAAATTCATTGATTTTCGAAAAACTTTTGAGCAAAGTCTTTATATTATGTGTTTCTCGAGATTCATTGACACTTGATAATAAAAACTCCAAGTTACGATTGTTTCTTCGTGATTCATTGATACTGGAAGACTCTTCGTATTATTCGGCTACTACCGGTCGGTAACTCTGCAAGCAATTGCATAAATGTAGTAGACATCCAAATAGGTCAACTTCATTCACTAACCACAACACTTTTTCCGTCATGTGGTTACTTAATCAAAATCCTTATGAGTTATGTGATAAATTATAAATGATAAATTATAAAGGAGTTGGCTGTTATTGCGAATATTCTGTTTTAAGGAGTTATGTTTTTGTCAATCCAATTTTTCTAAAAGTTGTTCTTATGTAAACAAATGTTTACAATTTTTTGTTAGATGCTAAATAGACGTTAGAATTAAATCTTAGGCCAACTAGCCAACTGATAACGAATCAATTTTTTTTCTCTCCATAATATTTTTATAAATGTTAAAACTTAATAGAATGTAAAATAATTTCCCCATTTTTAACAATTTTATACATATAAAATAATTAATAACTGTAAAATTAATAAAATATCCTTAGGCCAAAAAGACCTGTTGACCATATTTTTAACTGTTTTGGCGTCAAAATTCTAATCAAATTTTGGAATAAAGGATGATGTGGATGAATCTCTTAGAAGCTCTAAGTCTCATTGCAAATCACATTTGAACATATATAGATAGACGGTTTTCAAAATGATATAATAAAAGTTCAAAGTCTCATTCCAATAAAACAACCTTGCATCAAGATACGATTACGTTCTAGGTGCATGCAACAACATTCAAAAGTGAAAAGTAAAGATGAAGTTTGCTGAATAAAAACACAAGAGAGAAAACATTAAAAAAAAAAAAAAGACAGATGCAGGGTTTCTTGACGATATTGATTTTGATAACTTGTTACTGTCTAGATTTTTCTCTTCTTTCATCTCATCTCTTCCACTGTCAAAACCTTTAAAAGCTCCGGTGACAAAGCTACTGGATCAAGCTCCAAACAACCTTTTGGAGCATTATCACCTTCTTGACCAGTAAGCATGTGAGAACCTACCTGATGTGAGAACCTGAACAGTTCTTCCTTCGGGAATGTCTTCAGACTAGCATGGCGGCGGAACACAGTTTTGAATCCCGGGACTTTAACTAGCGGTACAACAATCACGCCTCTTGCTTCATCAAAATCTTGAAACACTTAAACCATTTCATACTTGTACACAACTTCTTCTGGAGTTGAGAAACCCCAAGATGGTGACCAGTTTGTATAAAGAGCCCAAACGTCTCCTCTCTCTGGATAGATCTGCACAAACCCGTTGTCACCATTTGTACACTGGACTCTATGTGAGAATGAGTATAGAAGCTCGTATTTGCATCGTCTCCCTATAGAGAAGCGTCCACAAGTCTTGTAAAACCCTGAATCAATCCACTTCATTGGACCAAGTTCCTCATTGTTCTTGCTCTCAAGCCAAGATATACGCAGTGTGAACGGTTTTTGAGAGACAATACCATGGACCAGTGCATAAAACCGGGGCATTCCATCGTGATTATCAAAAACAGCCCATACCTGGTCTTCTCTGAATGAAGATTCTGTTCTATAATTGTCGAAATGGTAGAAATGAGGAATCGGAACACTCATAATCCTTAAAGCAGGCTCCTCCTCCTTATCCTTAACCATATCAGCTGTGTTTTTGGACCTTCGAGGGACTTTTGTTAGTGAAAAAGAACCAACATTGGACTGTTCGGAAGAAGAAACATAATTTACAAGACTCTGAGGTTTTGCCATAGGTTTAGGCGCTGAAAAAGTCAACGGGATATCAGCCAAGCTCAAGCTTAGGCTCAGACTCGGAATATTTCTCTTGTTCTGCTGCTTTTCATAACTCCATGGGTTAACATCACTCATCGATGAAGCTGGATGCCCAATAGCTTCAAATTGCTGTCGACATTTAACACAAACAAGCGTATGACCTATGTAGCTCTTTGGATACTTGTGCTTAAAGCTACAATTACCGCATGTTGTCCAGAAGCTGCTATCTTCTAATGATGATGCTGCTGCTGATGCCGTTGTTGCTGATGATGATGAATTAGTACCCATGAAAACGTTGGAAACTCTTCTCTTACGCTGTACTGGTTGCTGGATTCCGCGTCTCCTGTCATAAGCCTTCCTCTTGTTTTCATTGCACAAGACTCTCCAAGATTCAGCCAATATATTGCTTGCTTCAACAATGCTACCCACAGATTTGTCATTTTCCAAGATAATCCCCGTAGATAGTTTATTGTAGCGGCTTTTGATCGTTTCAACATCTGCGGTTGGTTCAACCCCTAAAACAGCATACCAATCAACTTCACCGTTAATCTTCTTCCCAAAACCGATCAACACATCAAGAACGGTATTGAGACAGAGAAGACCACAAAGCAATGGATTCAAATTCTTTGCCCTGACAACATATTCTTTGGCTCCAGCAAGATCACCCATTTTGAACTTGTCCACAGCAACCGCCTTTGCTCTTCTAGCTTCCACTCTACGTCTTGTCAATCCAGATTCGTCGTACATTTGCATCATTTGTTTTGTCAAAAGATTATTTTTATGTATTTTCAGATCCTGAAAGACAGGGAGAATGATGTATTAGATAATGAAGCATACTTGAAAATTGCAACAATGTTAAATTTCAGTTGTTGAAGTTTTGAACAATGCTGAAACATAGAAGAAGCTGATCGAAAAGAAACATTACGAAACATTATCTTAAAATCTTGAATAATTTTGAAACAAAAAGTGGGATCCAGAAATCTCAATGGATATAATAATTCCAACATAATTGAAATCATATGTGGTGGAAAGAGATATGTGAACGTTATAAACAATTTATGTAAGATTTAAATATTTTTCTTCCTCTTAAGTTTAATTTAAATGCATATATTAAAGTATTAGATAAGGAATCTATTATCTATTTAACTTCTTAAAAAAAATGAAGTACTCATGTCAAATCTAAAAGAGACTGTTATTCAATTATTAATCTATAAAGTTTTATAATCTTCCAAATTTTGAGTTTTAATGTTGTTTTTGGATTCTAAAATCTCAGCAGTTTGTTTTGGATTTTGTTTCTAATGATTTACTCATGAAACTATATTCCAATTCATTTCAAATGACTTAATATACGAAGATTTTAAAATTTATTTAGTTTCCAATAACACTAGATATTAGTGTAGTATTTAAAATCTTAATTAAATAACACTAAATTTAAAAAACATTTATGTATGATTTACAAATAAAATATCCAATAACACTAGGTTCTAAAACATGATTTAAAAGCATTAGTTGAATAATTTTGAATTGTGAATCAATATGAAGTTTGTTAAAATTCATAACTGAATAACACCTCCTAAGAGTTATTTAAATAAGCTAGTATAAAAATTAAAGGTTTGTGAGTGAAAAATTAAGTGAAGTTCGTTACATAATTCTTATCAGTACAGTATAATGTTTGTGCTCTAAAAAGTTTGTTACAAAATTTAAATCAGTATATAATCTACGCGCGAAAGTTCGTTACAAAAAATTTATTGTTAAGAGTGGGCGCGAGAAATTGTATTTTGAAATTAAAACTAAAAAACCATGATAAGTTTAAAATAAAACAATCTTTAATTTGACTGGATCCTAAGATATGTAATCAAACAAACATCAATAAACACAGAGATCCTAAAGATAGATATGTTAAAAGAAGGAAACATGGTATGATCGAAACAAAATGAATCAATTGAAAACCTAAACCCTAAACATGAAACACTAAATTAAATTCAAGCATGATTTACCATCAACTAAGCTAATCTCTCTTTCTTCTGCCCCAAACACACTAGCGGTCTTAACCAAAAAACATGAAACAGTAAACTGAATTTACAGGAAGAAGAAATCTAAATCATTGCAACCCAATTATTAAAATCACACAAAAACGCAGGAGAAGAGTATAGAACAAGGGAAAAAAAAACCACAGTCAAATTATCCAACAGCCAATTCCACTTGTTAAAGAGCAATACCACTAGTTTCTCTCTATGTACCTCTACGTAGAGAATGAGGAGAATGAGAGTGAAGCTTCAGATTTTTCCTCTAGCTTCTTCTGTCTATACCACTCGGGTTATTTTTATTTTGTTTTCTTTGTTCTTTGAAGACGTTTTTTTCTTTGTGCTTTGCAAGCATTGAAATAATACTGTAACCGTAAACCATATGATTAACAATTGTCAAGTAATTAGACAGAAACCTTTAATTTAAGGTAAATATACAATGATTATTTCTATAGTTTTGTTTTTTCCTATATATAAAAATGTAAACAGTCAAAATTCTCGTTGAACAAATCATTTCCATATTCAAATTGGAGTAATAATTGTTTAACTTAGGCGTTTTATTTCTCTTGACCATTTATTGCTGTTGGATTTTCTTGTTTTAAGATTAAAAAAACCAAAATAAGTAAAAAACAAAAAACTATAAATCAATTGTGTGAAATAAAATTATTCTCTATAAAAAAGAGATATATTTGTTTTCTTTTCTATGTACAAATGATTGACATGATATAAAACTTTGTTTAATATTAGATCTAGATGCTTCATATTTATTTTCCACAACAAGGGATTAATGTTGAAGCTATATCTTATCATAGACACACTATTATGTGATTATGTAAATTAATATTCATGGAAGACATAAAATGTGTGTAAAGGAACATAGCTCAAGTTCATAAGATAGTTATGTATTATAAGTTATCCAACAACTATTTAGTCTAATAATCTTTCAATCAATCAATATTGTAATAGATCTCTTTGAAAACGCCAACAATATATTCAAGTCTTGGTAATTGGTGAAGCCCTAAGTAAAACTCCCTCACCTATAAACCAGACTTATATTCAACATTATATCCATTAAACATACATGATACATAAGACCACACATGATTGAAAAACACACCAAGCATGTGCAGACTAGCCATTCAGTCTCTATGGTGGGTCTGGCTTGCATTATGACATTGCCAATGTTCTTAAAAACGAGAAGTTTTTTAGTGAAGAGGAAGAAAGAAATTAAAAATGTCAACTTAAAAAAGCCAAATATGTTTTTGATGTATAAGTAAAATTGGTTTAGAGTTTTAGTACCTTATGATTAGCTCTGAGAAGTAGCCACCAGCAACATGGCCGAGGAAATTAGAGATTCTGATATGTGAGATGAATACTTTGGTGTTGTTATACCCGAAGGAATAACAAATCTGACCAAGAATGTCTGTAACCATTTTTCATGAACCAGAGACCAAAATATAAGGCAGAAGTCAGCTTGCTCTAGAGCTTGTAACAATGTGAATTCACTCCTCTCAAACCAGTATTCCTAATAAACATATATACTGCAAGGATAGATACAACCCGTCATAAGCCATGAATCGTAAATCATCAGATCGAAAAAACTTCTTTCCACAGCTCTAAGAATGAAATGTAGAGTAGGAACAACGACAGGTGATCCAAAAACAACCATGTGAATAACGGATGAACCATTGAACATCAAATAAGCCTACGTAAAGATTGCTTCGCTCAAGCCATAATGACCACGACTCTTAGGGAAGTTATTAATGTATGACACAAAGAGGTGCAGCAGGTGCGGTATTATATTAGGTTTGCCATTTGTTTCCACAAATAATAGCTACGTTAAACTGCAAAACTGTTATTTTTTTTAGATTAAGAAACTATTTCCTATGTTGATTTTAACTTGATATATATTTTTGAAGTTTTAGATATAGTATCACTAAAACATAATCTATTTTCATTATACATACTTTTAATTATATTAAATGAATTTAAATTCGTTTTAAAAGTGTTTTTGATTTTTTTGAATAAAAAATAAATTTGTGACATATTTGCTACAGATCCATTGCAAGTACGTCACAAATTGTTGATTTGCAAGAGGTTCGTTGCTAATTAACGAGAAAATTGCTTGGGTGCTTTATTAGGAACAATATTCTATATCTTAAAGTGGAAAAAATTTTAAAACTTTGCAAGGGTATTGCGATAGATCCGTCGCAAACTGAAACTTTTTGAAATCTTGTTGAAATTTTTTGAATTTTTTTAAAAAATTTGACAAATTCGCGAGAAATTTTATTAGACAGCCCATCATAAATCCGTCGTAATATATGTTATCATATTGATTCTCCTTCTTTACTTCTCTTCCATTATCTCTCTTTCTATTTTTATTTTCTTAGCCACTCTATCTCACTTCCTTTCATATTTGCTTTCTCTCTCGCCCTCACTCTCTTTCTCTCTCTCTTAACCTCTAACAATTTTTGAATTTAATTTTGGAATAGAGAGAAAGAGAGAGAGACATTGTTAAGTTGTTTAGTTTGTTAGATTTATGATTTGTTGAATTTAAATTGATGAATCTTTTTTATTTAAAAATTGTATTTGTGTTTTGTAATATTTTAGATTGATGAATTGTTAGATTTAGGTTTGGAATTTGTTAGATTTATGCCGGAAACTTATTAGATTTAGGTTTAAAATTTGTTAAAATTAGGTTTTAATTTTGTTAGATTTAAAAATTATTAGATATATAATTGATTTTTTGTTAGATTTTCAAATTATTAAATTTTAATAATTTAAAAGATATATTTAGATTTGTGTGTTTTTGTTAGATTTTGAAATTACTTTGGTATATTTTGGTTAATATTTTTTATGTTTTTTTTGTTAAATTTAATTTTTTTTTATTTTTTTATAATTTTTTTTAATAATTTGCGATGAACGTTATAAGACCAGTCGCAAGTCCGTCGTAATATTTGCAACAGATTTGCGACGAACGTTATAAAGTCACCCGCAAATCTGTTGCAAGATGAACTTTGCAATATCCACCACAGTTCCATAGCAATATCTGCTATCGATTTACGACGAACTACACTTGGAAGAATTTACAATACTGTTTATTCATCGCAAATTTGTTACATATTTGCGATGAATTCTATCTCATTCTAAAATTTATGACGAATATCAAATTGTGACTAATGAATTGGGACAATTTTGCTGTCGTTGCAAATCCATTGCTAGTGTTGATATGTGATGGACATGCGACGGCTTTGCTCGTCGCAAATGGAATATTTTCTTGTAGTGTTTGATTAATAAAAAAGTTTTTGATTTTTGAAATTTTCCGTTTAAAGTCTTTATATATTTTTTGCTATTTGTGCAAGAAATCGATAAAATCTAAACATATGCGGTTGGTTCAACCCCTAAAACAGCATACCAATCAAGTTCACATCAAGAACGGTAATGAGACAGAGAAGACCACAAAGCAATGGATTCAATTCTTTGCCCTGACAACATTTTTGTTGGCTTCAACAAGATCACCTAGTTTGAACTTGTCTACAGCAACCGCATTTGCTCTTCTAGCTTCTATTCTACGGCTTATCAATCTAGATTCGTCGTACATTTGCATCATTTGTTTTGTCACTAGATTTTTTTTATCTCTTAGTTTCAGATCCTGAAAGACAGGGAGAATGATGTATTAGTTAATGAAGCACATCCAAAAATTTCAAGAATGTTAAATTATAGTTGTTGAAG